AAACTGAATGTACCGTAAGTGTGAACTGCAAGTGTATCAATTTGCACTCTCCCAGGGGAAGTTCATTTATAAAGCTGAAAAACCTCCAGATGCAATTAATTAGTCCTTGATAATTACAGTACAATTACTCGCGCACTAATACCCAGTTGCAGTCTAAGCTGTAAAGCTCATTTTGAATTGTATGATAATTTGTTGTTAATAATTATTCTATTGTATTAATACACCAGATAGATCAGTCGTATTGAATCAAGTTGCTATTTTGCTGACGTTTGCAGCATTGATTGAAATGATGCAGCTGTTGGCATTTTCATTTTGAAGACTGATTATTCATGACATGATGGTGATGGAACGGTTGATAAATATCTTTCTCAAAAACAAAGGTGGCCTCATTCACTCTGAAGAATTCTTATTGTCTCACTTAGTTGTTAGCTTCAACGCTTCTTAGTTTCAGTGCTCAGAAATCGCGGTCGGCATTTTAGCTCTTAGGTCTATAGAAATCAAGCGTCCAGTCGCAATGAATTGAATTGAAAAGGGTTTCAATCAGGTTTTGTATTAGTACCTGACACAAAGTTATTGATTTGTTCTATGCATATCTATTTAGCGTGGGATCTCAGGGCTACCAGACGTAACTTATTACTTACTACCTTAACTTTTTAATTCTGTTTTTTATGCATATTTTGTAGAACACTATCAAAAGTGCTATCCAGCACTGCCAGACACTTCCCGCCGGCCACAAATTCTGGCAGACGCTTTAAATCTCTGAAAAGTTTCTTACAAAAGATACAGAGTACAAAATAAAGTTTCCACTACGTTGTAAAGGGTCTGGTGGGAGTTATGACTGGTGGGAAGTGTGTGGCAGTACTGGATATTTGTAGTAACATTTTGCGAAGATTTTTACTTATTTTTCTCATCTAGTAATAAACGCTACTGAACGCAAGCTAGTAGTATTAGCCCAGGCTACAGAGAAGAAAAATAGGTATTTCATGTACAAAAGTTTGGCAGATATCAGGAAGTTTTCAATATAAGGGGAGGCCTTTAAAATTGATAAATACATAAAAAGGTACAGCCAGCGTTGTTTTTTTATAAACAATGGGAAATGCTCAAAATTCAGTATCTTGCCAGTATAATTTTCAAATCAAATTTTATAAATAATCGGGAACCTGGAAATTCTAGAGCATAAAAAGACCTTAAACTTTATTTTTTAAGAATTAAAATCGATGAACAATTAAGCTAAATATTGAATAAATGCTTATAACTATTGCAACAAAAATTGTAAATGGCTAAGAATTTGTGAGATCATTAGTATGAATATATAAATTTCAGCCAGACCGGTTTAATAGCTTATGTAAAAATCTAGTTCCTTAACCCAGAGACGAATTATATATATATATAATGTTTAATATATATATATATATATATATATATATATAGGTGAAAAATTAAAGCTTCCGCCTTTTGTTGGGTACTTCGACAAAATTTAAGCAAAGAGGACTCTTTATACTTTTTTTAATTCTCTCTAGCTTTCAATGGACTTTGCCATCATCATCAGGAGCTGCAATTACAATGATAACAGTAGCAACAAAAGTGTAAAATGAATTTAAATTGAATCATCTTACAGTAGTATGTGAGGATGTTGCTAATTGTTGTTTTCGTATAGGATGAGGGAAACGTCCAGTAACATGGTGAGAGCTGGATACATGGTACAATGGTTAAAATTATACAAAATATGACAAGACAAGTTAAAGACAGATTAAAAATTATTTAGAAAACATTAGAGCATTACGTCGTGAAGCCACTTGATGATTGCACAAAATGGTGGTCATGGAATAATGAGTGAGATGAACCTTTGACAGAAGGCCGAAGGTTGTCAATGCCTGTGTTGAAAGATGGAACGAATTGTGGGCGTGTGCCAAAACGTTGCCAAATCACTTTAGATGATGTGATTTTCAGAATGTTATGTAAGAAATTGTTAAACCGACCAGAGGCAGTTGAATAAACTATATTTTAATTAATTATTCAACTGCCTCTGGTCGGTTTAACAATTTCTTACATAACATTCTGAAACTCACATCATCTAAAGTGATTTTGCAACGTTTTGGCACACGCCCACAATTCGTTCCATCTTTCAACACAGACATTGACAACCTTCGGCCTTCTGTCAAAGGATTTTGTGCAATCATCAAGTATCTTCACGACGTAATGCTCTAATGTTTTCTAAATAATTTTTAATCTGTCTTTAACTTGTCTTGTCATATTTTAAATAATTTTAACCATTGTACCATGTATCCAGCTCTCACCATGTTACTGGACGTTTCCCTCATCCTATACGAAAACAACAATTAGCAACATCCTCACATACTACTGTAAGTTGATTCAATTTAAATTCATTTTACACTTTTGTTGCTACTGTTATCATTGTAATTGCAGCTCCTGATGATGATGGCAAAGTCCGTTGAAAGCTAGAGAGAATTAAAAAAAAGTATAAAGAGTCCTCTTTGCTTAAATTTTGTCGAAGTACCCAACAAAAGGCGGAAGCTTTAATTTTTCAGCTAACTGGTTTAGACGACAATGGCCACGTCTCAAGTTATAAATATATATATATATATATATATATTAAACATTCTACAAAAGTAAAATGGATTCTTGGTTTCAACTTCAAGAATTAAAAATTCAATTTTTTATTTCAAAGTTAAATAGACATTTTTATAGTTATAAACATTTACAATAGCCTCGCCATTTTTCAATATAATTTATTTTCACAAGTTGATCTGGATATTTGGTTAAAATACGCATATTTTAAGAAACCTTCTAGGACCAATAGGAGCCAAGATAAAAATTCATATCTTCTTTATAAACATTAAGACTCGAAATTTTCACAGATTTAAAGCAAGGATCTCAGTCTTATGATCCAATTTATAATTTTACTATTAGTTTAAAGGTCTTTAAGAAATAGCCACCTAAAGTGAAGGTACTCGCGTAAGTATTTCCGGGTGAGGTCGTGCTGCAATCAGCTCTAGCTCGATTTATTTTTTGAAACTTCAAATCGGAGCGCGGTGTAAAGCTTTGCATTATCTCGGCTTCTAAGCAGCGTAAAACCTTCATTTTTTAATTTTGGGTAACTTGTCGAAGTAATTACATCTGGTACATTTTCATTTTTCTGGAAACACTTTGTATTCCTCAGAATTGAATTACTGTAAAATAATAATAAACTAACAATAAATCATTTATTTTTACTCTCACTATCATAAAATACTTTATATTTTACAATAAAATTATTTAAACAATTCATAATTCAGTTAATTGGTATACTCTTAACAAAATACACTCTAGTAAATTGTAAAATATATTTATTCCCGCTTGTCTTTCATTTTTTATTTTATTTGCATCCTTTGTGTTATAATGATATTATATAATGTATTTTTTTATTATAATATTTTATTATTTAATCTTAATCCTCCATTATAAATCTTTTATTTGGACGCTCTAGTACTACTTCAATATTTGTATAACTCGTTTCTTCAAATGTGTCGTCGATTTTATCAGTCTGCTCGTTATTATCGTCAATTCCAATTACAGCAAGGTTGTAGCATTTTGTGTCATCATCATTACAAATTATGCACAAAGGTGTGCAATTTGACCCATGTTTTTCACAACTACACCTACTTGTTTGGCAACCAGTAGTACATTTGCAGGAAATTTGTTTCATAGTATCGTCTAGTGTTAGACTATTCATAGTATAGATCGGTTCGAAATCGTTGTCACTTCGCCTCCACCCGTACTTGCTTGGATCTAATTTATTGCCTAACCATGTTTGTAACTGGTAATATACCCGTATCCAGATCAACTTGTTAAAATAAATTATATTAAAAAATGTCGAAGTTATTGTAAATGTTTATAGCTATAAAAATGGCTATTGTTTTAATATCATCTTTATCAACAATTTTGAAATAAATAATTAAATTTACGCACGAACTCTTAAAGTTGAAACCTCCAAGAATCCATGTCACTTTTGTAAAATGTTCTAGGACCATATCTTGGACAGGAACAGTTGTTTAAATAATTCAGTCTCTGGGATAAACAAATAGCTTTTTACATAAGCTATTAAATCGATCCGGCTGAAATTCAGCACACTAATTAACACCAATGATGCCCTCATTCTCATAAATTTTTAGTCATTTACAACTGTTATTGCAATAGTTATAAACACTTATTCGATATTGCTAAAAAGCTGAAATGTAAATCGATAATTTGAACATTATACAAGTAAGACACTGAATTTTGGGCTTCTCCCATTGCTTATAAAAAACATATACCTGACTGTATATTTTTATGTATTTGTCATTAGAGCGACTCCCCTTCCATTTAAATCCTTCAGATATCTGCTAAACTTTTTTCACCTTTTTTATCTAGCCTAGATTATGTAGCTTTCGTTCGTCCGATCACAGACTACCAACCTGTAATAGCTATTTCGTGCTATTTGGCAATTCTTCGGCATAGTCTAGGCCTGCTCAACGAATGAAAGATGAGCAGCTAACCTCTATCCAGAGTATAAGACCTATCTATATAAATAAGGCAGCAAGTGTCATCTATCACCAGAATGAGTTCGAGAGTGAAAAGGGGCAGCTGTCTGTTGAAACTGTATATTAGTTCGCATTGTCACCCTTGTGGTCAAATGAATGAAAGCTATATTACCGGTTTATTCAAAGGCAAGCAAATTGTATCCACTATAGCTCCAGAATCGGTGGCGTCTAGCGGTCACAGCGGTAAACCGGCTGAAAACGCGAACTGGAATATAGTTCCAACAGGCAGCTTACCGTTTTGATTGTCGCAGTTGTCGATTGTAGTAATATATGGCACTTTGTCCTTTGACCTTATGCTACTGAATGCCTCAGGTCTCAGTCTGATAGCACTGGAATCTTGAACTAATTGTTCATTGTGACCGAACAACGTAAAAATAACTGTTTCAAGACGTAAATATACATGTGTATTTTTCTCTATAGGTACACTACTCACCATTCTGAAGTATGTATATCATTGTAAGAGTTTGCGACAGCAAACCTGAAATAGAAAAATGTTATTAATGACTTAAGTTGATACTAAATTGCATTGATAGAAAAAACATGAGGTATGATTAGTCGGTAGGATAGGTCTATTATTACCGTGAGAAAATAAGTGTTATTGAATAATATTAAAACGACACTAGTCATATAGTCCAGTTAATCTGACGGGGGTTATATAAATACCCCAGAAAAATGGTGAGTTGTGTATATATCTTGGAGTAATTCCCAATCACCAATGTATTTATTCTTAGAAATGTAAAGCTTATATGGGTTTTCCGTAGTACCAGTTTTATGTGACATTGTCAATTCCTTGCATCTTTTCCGGTAGTATTCCATAGATAATACGTCTTCTTTTGTCTAAGGTATTTTTATGGTCTAATACGTCCTGACCTCCAAGAATTGCATAACATCGAAGTAGATTGTCTAAGTGCTTGACTAACACTGTTTTAATCTAACATAAGGAACAATGTATTTCATCGTGCAATAATATCAATAGAAAACAAATACCATTCTAAATATATGCAAATCCTATTTAATTTAGATCCAAACAAGTTTTGGCTAATGCATAACCTGTCGACATAATAAATGCATCGACCTAGATGAATAATAAAGAGATTATTCTTATCAAAGCATATATACAGACTACGAAAAGTAAAATCCCTAGCGAAAAAAGTGTATATGTTCGGAAGGCGCGTCAACCTGCTGAGAAACCTGATGATTTTTCTAACGACAAAACGATCGCACAAGGAAAAAGGTTCCGCACCTATTGCTGTCGAAAAAAAAATAATCAAGGCTGTCCCAGGCCTTGCCATCAACACATTGTACGAGGGTTGATCTTGAAATGAGGTAACACCGGCGCGCACAATTGTCTCCCCACTCTCGATTCCCCCGGCAGCGCCGCCCAGCAGCCGTCCGATATGGAGGTTATCATTGTTTACCCTGTAAAGTGTGACGTTCGAAACCATAATTCGATTTTTGCACGCCAAAATATCCCGCCCGTGCATTTCATCGTCAGTTGACTGATGTGTATGGCGACAAGTGTATGTCCTTTCAACACGTCCGAATGTGGTGCAGGGAGCTTAATGCCGGGTCGGAAGGAAGTCCTCGATGAGGAATTTAGTGGAAAACTGTAATTTTCGTACGCGATTATCAAGATGATCCAACGCGAAGAGCTTCAAAACATCAGGACTACCGTCCATGAACTCCCAGGAATCTGAGCAACGGACGGCAATCGTGCTGTTTTAAAGTACTTCGCGTTGGACCATCTCGATAATCGCCACCGAAACTGGTCGTTTTGCACTTGACGCCATAGACATCTATCAACTGACAAAGAATATCCACGAGTGGAGCCCTCTTTGCCTGCAAAAAGCAAATCACGGAACGAATGTGGCAATTGGCGGGATCAACAACGACAGCATCCATATCGGACGGCTGCTGACCCAAAAATGAGCGGCGCAGCGAAACGTCGCTGGGGAAATCAAGAGCGAGGCAACAATTGCGCCCAGCGGTGTTGCCGAATTTTGCTTCTCACCATCCCATTTGGCTGGAGGTCTTTGGGAACAAAATTTCGTATATTCCTATATATTCGCCAGAAGACACTCAATTCAATCGTCATTGCCATGTCAGAAAATGAGCAGACGTATCATTTATTCTTATTACTATAGCACTTTTCAGAAAGGTCCTTCAACTAATTTGTTAACGGGTTGCTCAAGCGGATGAAATTGATAGATGAATTTTAATGCAAAAATATGGGTTGGGCGACAGGGCGCCATCTTGAAACATGTTAAATAAAATGGGGATCACCTGATACATAATTTTAAAGTACTTCAAGTGCACTTTATAGCCCTATAATTTAAAATCACTAGCCTTCAGCATAGCTAAATTACAAGCTGTTGTTGTTGAGCCTTTTTGCACATTGAATCGCTTATAACTCAACAACTAGTTATCAAAATACAATAGTTTGTCATATCAGTCATCTTTTTTCGAAAAGGTGTCTCGATGTGTAACGCAATATGGGGAATTCAGTATAAATAATCGACAGACCCTGGCAAATCTTTGAAATGGAATGTTTCATAGTTCCTTCCAAGAGAAGGTTGATATATCATACAACAGCGTTTTGTTGATTGGTTGCCGACTTACAGGTGACTGAACGTTCAGAAACGCTCAATTTTGACATCCTTTTAGTCCGCCATTTTGAATGTCATAGAGCTATAAAAATTTTCAAAATGAAGCACTTCTATTTGAAAAAATGCTCCAAGGTGCCACCATTTGGAGATTTTTAACTGTCACTTTTATCTTAAAATATATAAAACGAAAGTAGATCTGGCTCCAAGTTGAAGTTCTAGCTCAATATTGAGGATAGATTCCGGTTTGTCTTCAATATTTTGTATTTTTCAATTATGTGTTAGGTATGAAGCTCTGTGAGCAAACCTTAGGTTGAGATTTCGCTAGTCAAATCAAACAATTGGAATGAAAAATAGCAAGACTTTCTCACGACTGCCTGCTTAAAATGCTTTTTGCAGTCCAACAAAACCTTAGCCGTTTTTAGCAATTATCTAGAGCACTAGAACTGTATGTGAAACCACGTTCTATTAAACGTTTTCGCAGAAAAAAATACGACTTTAATGTGAAATGTCAACAACTGGCGGATCAAGCACACAGTATTACGAGAGATGACAGCCTGTCAAAAGTCAGGTTCTACTAACGCCAACTTGAGTCGTATGCATTTCATAGGATTTCCATTCATCTCAACTGTTAATGTTCAGGGATATTTTATTTATTCACTTTCACAGTTGTTGGTTACGTTCAATATAAAAAGCTTTTCAAAAATTATCTTGCCCAAATGCAAGAGGGCAAACCACCCCTTGGAAAATTCCTCCGGATGTCCATGGAATTAGGTAGGGTACGCCCCAAACAGTTTCGTCCTCACTACGGACTACTATTTCGTGTATTAAAACCAATCGCATGCTGTATCTTTCTACGTAGTCCGAATTCGGATGACAAAAATTGTATGCACAGCGTAGGGTTGGCCATTTTTTTTTTTTAGAATAATACAATTATCAATGGTCCAGCCCAGGCGTGCCCAGTTAGCTCTTGTTTAGACCACTGTCGGAGGGACGGAAGTAAGAAAAAACACATCTGACATCGTAGTAAACCTACTATACGTAGTCTGTATACGTTTATTTTAATTAACCGTTACCATTAACTACTGTAAAACGATATATCACAAAGCGGGCAACTTATCACATACGACATCTCAATTAGATAAACCTAAAGTTGTCTGTTTGAAAATATGATTGAGTGAGCTATACGAATGCATTTAAGCCAGATATAAACAAACAATCGCTAACGAATTAGAAATGAGTAAGTATCAGGTAACTAAATAAGTTCGTGCGGTTGCTGTATATTGCACATTGCCATGGATGTTGTTGAACGATAGCGATTGTTCGTTACCTGTTGTCACTTTAGCATGAATCCTTCTTTTCTCACACACATAAAAAGTTGCTGAAAATTTTTACATACCTAGTTTTAATAATTGAAAATGGCGATGAATAAAATATATAGTAATTCGTTTACTGTATGAGTACAAACTTGGTACAAAAGCTGAAGCGGCGGCGCGAAAAATATCTACCGCATTCGGAGATGATGCCGTTAGTGATCGAACAGCACAGAAGTGGTTCAAAAAATGTTCTTCGTGAGATTTCAGTTTGAGCGATGAACCGTGCTCAGGGAGACCAAAAATCATGAACCACGAGGATCTTCGACAGGTTGTGGACGTAAATTCCAGGACAACGTGCCAAGAACTTGCAGAAATGTTCAGAGTGAGTCCTGAAACTATTCGTTTGCATCTTCATCAGCTACATGAACTGACAAATAATAACAAATGAAGTCGTCTTGCCATTTGTTCAGCAAACATTTCACGCAACGCTAATGAACTGTTTCTTAATCTGTTATTAACCTGCGACGAAAAATGGATATTGTATTCGAATTCTAAGCGTTCGTATCATTGGTTGCCGCCTACTGATTCGGTGCCACACACTCCCAAGGCTTCCTTACACTCAAACAAGGTTTTGTTGTATGTTTGGTGGACAGCAACTGGAATTGTCCATTGTGAGTTTTTGGAAAGGTTTCAAACCAACACTGCTAACTTGTATTGTGAGCAGCTTCAACGAGTACAAGCAGCACTCATCCAGAAACAGCCTTCTTTGATCAATCGGAAAAAAGTGATATTCTTGCAGGATAACGCCAAGCCTCTTACCGCAAAAGTGATCCGAGAAAAAATTTCTGAACTCGGCTGGGAAATGTTACCGCACCCGCCATACTCTCCCGACATTCCGCCCAGTCATTATCACCTTATTTTGTCTTGACAACTGTATGAGGCACTGACAGATCGCAACTCGAGATGGTGTAATAAATGCAGTCCGCCAATTTTTTTACTCCAAATCCAGGGAGTTCTGCAATACTGGCATACAAAAATTGGTTCCACGTTGGCAAAAGGTCATTGAATGTGATGGTAATTACTTCGACGAATAAATAGTATCTTATTGTTTCTCAATTAAAATTTATATTTTTCTATTAAAAACCGCACGAACTTATTTGGTTACCTGATAGAAACCAAATGGAACAGTTACAGACTGAAAATGAAGTATGTTCCTGTCGTAATATCTATACAGCCGAGTAAGTACACAAGCACCCAGAAGCAGAAGCCAAACTAAATGACCCTTCAGAGACCTTATGGGGAAAGGCTATCGGCAATTTTTACTTCCCACGCCTACTGGCGAGGAAGTATTGTGAAATTTTCGGAAATGGCATATTATGTTTTTTGGATGTTATTTGTCATGTACATCAGGAAAAAACATGTCATTTATTTCCGTCGATCTATCGGTCTGTTCGCTAATCTTATAACTTGAGAAGTGCCACTCCGATTGAGATGAAGTTTTTACACAATGTTATTTACTATGC